TATTTTTATTTTTATTTTTATTTTTATTTTTATTTTTATTTTTATTTTTATTTATTTTTATTTTTATTTTTATTTTTATTTTTATTTTTATTTTTATTTTTATTTTATAATATATTTCTATTTCTATTTCTATATATTTCTATTTCTATTTCTATTTCTATTTATGTTATTGTTATAGTTATATTTTTGTATATCTATATTTCTATATATCTATATATCTATATTTATATATTTATATATTTATATATTTATATATTTATATATTTATATATTTATATATTTATATTTATGATTTTATGGGGAGTAGGGAGGACATGAGAGCACACTACAACATTTAAGGATTCAGAATTTGCAGAAAGTACCATAATCCATATTTGCTACCCACTCTTGTTTATGGACAATGGTATTATAGCTAAAATCCTGATGTGGGTATGGACCTAATCTCACATATGTGTCCACGTCCCCTCTAATGGCTCAAATGGCACAGAAGGGCAGCCCACTGCTCTGTTAGTTACTAGAGATGTTCTTTATTTGAGATAGTGAATTTTGATCTGAACAGCCCTCTGCTCTCCAAACTCTGTGGGATTTTCTGCCTCTGCACTCTCAGCCTCTATTGGGTTTTCCCAAATTACTTTTTATTTTCTGCTGCACTCTGAATGCAGTTCTAAGGCATCAAAGAAAAGATTCTAAAAAATTACTGAATTAAAAATAAAGTCATGTGTCCCCTGCTGCTAAATAAACTAAGATAAAACCATATACAGACACCAGGTATCGGCCTCATTTTCGAGTTCCTTTAAATTTCACAAGGACTGAATCTTAAATGGTGAAAGTGAAAAGTCATTTGTTATTTGAAAAGTCATTTGGTTCAGAGTGACAGGTAAATACCATTGGAGTTCTGTTTGCAAGGTGCTGAAAACTCGGTTTAAAAGCTGATCTTGGGAAAGCTCTGATGTAACAGAAAAATATTAAAGTGTTTTTCACTGAATAAAATTCAAACCTTGATTTAGATTTGAATTGTAGCTCTGGGTTTTTAATATCAAATGCAGTTTGTGGATCATTGCTGGTATCTTGCTCTATCTTGAGCAAAGCAAGTTAGAGACCAGGCTGTTTTCCTTTTAAATAAATAAACATTGCTGTTTCATTGATGGCTCTTAGCAGAAGAGGTCAGCCCCATTGTTTCTGAAACAGCAGCATATGAATCTGAAACATAAATTATTAGTATCAACAGCAAAGCTCATGGTATAGTCAAGCATTTGTCACAATGAATGAAAAAATAAACAAGTTATTCCCCCAAGACCTCAAGGCCATTTTGAGATTAATGAAAACTTCATTGAATAAAATAATCAGCTTGAATATTTTTTGATTGTTCTGTGATTGCTTGAGAGATTATATCTTATTGAAAGATCTGAGAGATTATATCTTATTGAAAGATCTACACATAAAACGCTTAGCTTTTAAAATTGCTCCAAATTAGAGGTTAAGCATTAAATAATGTTTTCCCAAGGAAAACATATTTCAATCATGTTTCAATCTCACTTTTATACTATCTTAATGTTTGTAATTTTTTCTAACTAAAAAATCTTAGTGAAATAAAAAGGTTGGACTTCCTTGTATCTCTGGTATCTCATACTGCTTCATCCTTTCTGGAGAGAGAAAGGAAGAACAGAAGGGAGAGGAAAAAACTTGAAACTGGAAAAAGGAGAATTGAGATTTTTCAGTTTTCAGAACTCGAGCTGAAATATTTTGTGCTGAATTTGAAGCATTTTCTTCAGTGAAACACCTGTCCCTATAAAAAGTGGTGGTTGCATTTCCTTTGATGTTGTCTTCTACTCAAGTTAGAACAAAAACAATTACTTTTCATACGTTCATTTTCATGGACTAAGAGAAGTCTCTGGTAGTGTTTCCATAATTCAATCTCAGACTGGTGAAGGCAATGTAGTTAAAATGGTTCTGCTCTGCAGTACCTCTGTGCATCAGGGCTTCGTTTTTCAGGCTGTTTCACAAGCACAAACGAGCTGGCCTGAAGTTTATAAACAGCTTTGAGTAGCAGCTCTGTGCTTTGCTAGAGCAGCATCCATCACAGGGATGCAGCAGGAGCTTTGTCTTATCTCCTCTCCCTCCTCGTGTTAGACAGTTGGCTCATT